CCCCAAAACCCCAAAACCCCAAAACCCCTTTGTCCTGAAATATTTAAAAGTCAAATAAATCATAGCAAAATAAAAATTTGAATCTGACTGTATAATTTTATTAAAGATTTAAATAGATTAGTATGTTTCCGAGGTTAGAACTAAAAAGAGATACATCTTCATCATAAAGTTTCATAGCATAATAGAATGCAAAACAAAAATTTATTGATTCTTACGGGATACAGTTTTAACTGCCAAGTAAGACTATAGTTGCATAATTATATTTATATTTTAGCTTTGTATGTATAAATGGCGAGATTTTACCCAAAAGATCTAGATCTAATATTAGTTTGGGAAAATCATGCTTTTCCATAAGATTTAGAAGTATACAATATTGATCAAAGTGGAGAGAAGGTGAGAGCAGTTGAATTTGAGAAAATAATGAAGAATACCTTTTCTGTTCTAAGTTTGAGAAAAATTTTCCCAGGAGTTGGACTAAAAAATCTGGAGGTTTTAAATTTACCAGGTAAGGTTTTTAAATAGTAGTTACAATAAAGTTATGTCAGTTAAATCTGCTTTAAATTTTTAAAAATCTTTTCATAGAATATCGTAATGGAAACTTTAAGTTCTCTGCTGTTGGCAATGTAGTATGTATGAATGGATCTAATGAAAGACAGGTTTTGATATTTGATTCCTCTGATATCCACTAGCTGATGAATAAGATAAAGAGTAACGACTTCATCATTAAGTATGAAAGCCCCGAATTTCCTTAAATGAAAAGAATGCTTTTCTCAGCTGATGAAAAAGTTCTCATCATTTAACTCGATTTCAAAGTAAAACAATTGAAGTAATTGAAATATTTATAATAGGTTTTAATGTATGACATTACGAATAAAAGCTCAAATCCCAAGAGAGTCTTTGAAATATCACAGGCCTATGGTAATTTAGAATATTAATATTTTTACAGAGAGAATAATTAATCTAAGAATGAATGCTACTGGAGACGATGGATTGATAGTATGCAAAAAATAAGGTTATAGGAATGCAGATGTAATAAAGATTTCAGATGTTTCTTATTTCCAATCTTTAAGATTTATCAATTAAGACTCTAGTGAACTGAGAGTTAAAATATCAAGAGATCTCACTAAGATCCTGCTAACAAACTCAACTGATATTATTCTATACCATTAGAATAGATAAGAAGTTCTAGGATGGTTCAAAAAGAAGTAAGTTCATAAAGTATCTTGCAATGGAGGGAACGAATTTGTTGCTATTAGTAGTGAAAAATATGCAAACGGTTTTGATATCTTTAAGACAAATGATAGCTCATTCAAGAAAAACATATCTGTTAAGACGACTCCTAAGATTTTCAAATTCTTTGATATTAAGCACAAAGAATCAAATATTCATATTCTACTGCTAAGAGACTCTGAATTATATGTTAATATGCTTAGTGAAATAAATGAATAGCAATCCTAGTATTATCACTCGTATTATCATTTAGAAGAGTTCAAATGGCCTTATGTGAGCTTGGTTGTAAATAACTAGGATATTTTGATAATTTCTGCTTTTAATCCACTAAAAGCAATGAGAATCACATATGAAAACTAAAATGAAAATATTCTTTCTTGCAATATTACTTAGAGTATGAATTTGTTTTACTTCACATTTAAAAAGACAACTGAGACAAATTAGTTATACATGGTTGATCTTGATACAATGAAAGCCTCATAATAACCCTTGATGATTGTACATCAAAGTGAATCTAAAAACTAAATTCTCTATTCGATGCATGTAAGGAGTACATCGGCTAAGGAAAGGAATGATTATAACTTAAAAACAATCGCCTTTTTTAGATTTAAACATGAACTTTACTGCTGGTCAGAAAACTAACCTTTTCAATAAATACCCAATGTAAATGTAAATATCATTAAATCTATTATGGAAGATAGAATATTTTTCTTGCATAAAGAAGCAAAGTCCATATTTAGAATCAAGATATCATTTTCAAACTACAAAATAAATAAATTATATTAAGAAACTGACGATCATACTGAGATAGTGTAATTTGCTGTTGATAAGCAGTATCTTTATGTGCTGTTTAAATATAAAAAAGTATCCGAAAAATATCACTATTTAAAGATATTTGATGTTGTCAACCATAACTTCTACAAATAGCTTTACAAAGCAAGAATTGATAGCGAAGAATTTATTGGAGAGATGACTTCAGGCTATTTCAACATAATAGACTAGCTGATGTACTTTAAAAATAGTGTGATTAAGATGAAATTTATAAACAGCAACAAAATAGAATTCACTAAATTTGATGATTGTATCCATCTAAATCCGAGTGAATTACTACCTTATTATGGAATGGTAGCTACTTATGTATATCAAAGACTCATGTATATGAAAAAGGATGACAAAAAATTCTCATCTAAGACAGCCATAATTATACCTTTCATTAATAGCAAGAAGGTAATTCTAAATGATAAAGATACAATAACCCAATTCTGCACACTAGTTGAAGATTTCGAAGATCCAAAGAATTTACAAAAAATCTTTTATATGGTATGTATTCTAAACATTAAATAATAACCTATAGAATCCCTATGAACTTAGATACTTCGTTTATTCTCGTTAAGGAAGGCTACTCAGTCATATAAACTTTGAAAATGAGCAAAGTAATTAGTAAATTTTAACCTATTTTTAGATCATTACGGCTAGCCAATAGCTGTTTCTCATAATGGAAGAAAATTTTTGTTAAAAGGGAAGGACTCTTAGATTATTTCCTTGTTTGAAATGACTCAGGATGCTTTTAAAAAGATCTATGTTGTAGATCTAAATGAACTTATTAAAAATGATGTGTAAAATATTGACTATCTTAAGCTTTTGAACGTATATTCAGAAGATTCTTTGATAGATAACTTTGATTATAAATTCCAAATTAATGATAAGGGAGATCTGTTAATTCTTATGACTGAAAATCAAAAGGATATCCTTAAAAACTTTTCTTTTACCAACAATATTTCCTCCGTAACAGATAAATAATTACTCAAATTTTCTAGCACATAAAAGATCCACCACTTAATAGAAGATTTTGACAAAAGCAAAATTTTATTACATTTAAAATGCACATCAGATATCCTAAACAATTCCACTCTTTAAGTTCAAAATATTTACTCAACAAGAGATTCTCTTTAAAATTTTAAGGACTTCAAAGATTATAAATTTTCCTAGAACTTCTTTGTACTTTGGAACTTAGAATAGATTTGGTATTTCAATCTAATAACAAATGTTTTTAAGAAAATCAATGTTGAGGTACCGCTAGAGTCATTACAAAGAGTTTATATAAAGAGTATAAAATTATCAGGATATTAAGATTTTATCGGAGTTATATTATTAACTTAGAGCGAGAATTTAGATAATGCAATAATATACGATTTTCAAAATGATATTGAAGTAGATTCCTATGATATATCTGCCTAGGCAGAAACATTTTTTGACTAAAACGGGCATGCCTACTTTTTAGACTAAGACTATGTCATTATGAGCCAGATAAATGCTAAAATATTATCTTATTAGCTCATTGAAAGCAGTTTTGAGAAATAGTATTTGTATTTCGGACTTGATAAGGGTCATAGAGTTTGCCCTATGACAAAGAATTTTATTTTGATAAGGAATTATTTAGCCATTGGTTAAAGCTATTTGTCTTTAATGATGATTTTGGAAGAAAAGGGCTATGAACTAAATGATTCCAATTTTAGTATTGAAATTGCAAACTACATTTCTAAATAGGAATGTGAACTCCATACTTATGCCGCTGACTATACTAACATAAACTACATACTTTAAAAATATGATGAAACAGACCAGAGATTGTTTTAATAATTGCTAATTGTAAACTAATTTGGCAAAACTCCTCTACATATTGCTTTAGAAAATAATGATCATAAAAGTGTGAGTATCATATTAAAGTATCTAGCTAAGGTTGATGCCTCAAATACTAAGAATTTCAAAGATATATTTTGCAAACTTCTAGAGTACAAATAATTCTAATTGTACCTAGATTCTTGCTTTTTCCAAACTTTACAAATGAAGATGATACATACTCTTAATATTCGAGCCTCAGTTAATGATTTCAACATTGTCTTTGATCATTCAAGCTCTTATCTCGATAACAAATTCTTTAACTTAGTCATAGCAAGTTTCACAAATATTCTATTCAAAAATTAAGAAGTAGCAAACCAGCCAGTAACCTTGAAAGGATTAGATGTAGGTTGGATCTTTAACGCCAAAGAGGGAAGAAAATACTTGCTTAATTTAAGTAATCATAAAGACCTTAGCTTTTTCGAAACACAATCCACTAAAATAATAATCTCTTACCTCTGGCCTCACTATAAATATAAGATAATCTTCTTTACTTTGATTCCTTACGTGATTTATCACTCTATTTTCCTACTTTTGTTGTTTTATAATGAAAAATACTTCAAAGGGGGTAATGAGATGTCGTTTTAATCAGGGGAGAGTGATGGAATGAAAGTAATATGTTCAGTACTTCTTTTATGCATGGCTTATTTCTTCTATATCATATTATCGAGGCTCAGATTCTAAAAATTAGTTTATATGACTGGTATGTGGGCTTATCTAGATATATTCTCAATTTCACTTAACCTGACAATTGTGGTGATGTGCCTCTAAGAAACTTAAGTGTCCAATATTAGACGTATTGAAGCAGTAGCATCAACTTTAATGTGGTTGAAATTCCTTTACTTCTTTAGAATTATTGATACAACCGCTCCTCTAGTTAGAATGGTCAAGGAAATTTTACTTGACATGGTTAGTTTTTCATTCATTTACATATTTTCATTGTTGGCTTTTGCAAATGCTTTTTACGTTTTGGCTCAAAACTAATTATTTGAAGGCCAGAGTACTAATGATGTAGCCTATTATAGTGTATAGGGAGCATTAAGATATGTTTATTTGACTTCAATTGGAGAGTTTGATCACAGTACTTACAACAGTTCAAAGGATGAACACCTACTTTGGGTATATCTAATCATTACAACAGTATTCTTGTTGGTTGTGTTGCTAAACATGCTTATTGCAATTATGAGTATGACTTTTGGGAGAGTAGCCGATTCCACCTAATCATCTATTCTAAGGGAGAGATTATAGTTGATTGTAGAGAATTAATTTTTGCCTAGAATTACTAATTTATATCGCGTCAAATACCTCATATCGATACAAAGCATTGGTGATTAAGATTAGAGCGAATAGATGTTATAAGAAGTTGCTTCAGAGATCAGAAAAACTAGATAAGAAATTTTAAATGAGGTATAATCTATTAATGAAAGATTAGACAATTTGGAAAAATGATATTTTTTGCTCTTATTAAACTAATTGAAAAAATGAATTATATTTTGATGAAATTGATTTAATTTTGGAAAAAATAGTATTTTTATTTCATGGGGTTTTGGGGTTTTGGGGTTTTGGGG